TTCCCATGAATTTAAGAATTATTGTGCTGAGCATGGCATCATGCATGAGAAGACTGTTCCTGGAACCCCACAACATAATGGTGTCGCTGAAAGAATCAACAGAACCATTATGGAGAAAGTGAGGTGTATGTTAAGAATGGCTAATCTACCCAAGCCATTTTTGGGAGAAGCTGTTCTAACAGCGTGCTACCTGATCAACCGATCTTCGTCTGTTCCTTTGGGCTTTGATATCTCTGAGAGAGTATGGTCCAGACATGATGTTAAATACTCTCATTTGAAGGTGTTTGGATGCAAAGCTTTTGCTCACGTAAGCAAGGAACAAAGAAGGGAACTTGATGATAAAGCCATTCCTTGTATATTTTTGGGCTATGGAGATGAGGAATTTGGCTACAGGTTATGGGATCCAGAAAATCAAAAAATTATCAGAAGCAGAGATGTAGTGTTCCATGAGCAAGAAACTATGTTTGATTCTTCTTCACCAGAAATCAGAGAACCAAGTGGAAAGGTGGATCTTTCACCTGTCAAACCTCCTGGAGATACCACAGCAGGGGGAGAGTGTGATGGAGAACTCAGGATTGATGATGAGCCAAGCAATAGAAGATGGTGATGGTGAAGGTGTCGAGCAAGAAGACCTCGAAGCTCCGCCTCAGCTCAGGAGATCAAACCGAGCGATCCAACCATCTACGAGATACCCTAGTTCCACGTATATTACCATCACTGAAGAAGGGGAGCCAGAAAGCTTTGAAGAAGTACAGACTCATAAGGATAAATCACAGTGGATGAAAGCTATGCAAGAAGAAATGGATTCACTAATGAAAAATAACACTTATGAGCTTGTGAAGCTTCCGGAAGGCAGAAAAGCCTTGAAGAATAAATGGGTGTTCAAGCTTAAGAAAGATGGTGACAAGCTGTTGAAGTACAAGGCTCGCTTAGTCGTGAAAGGATTTGGACAAAAGCGAGGAATAGACTTTGATGAGATATTCTCTCCGGTTGTTAAGATGAGCTCTATTCGAGTAGTACTCGGATTGGTGGCTACCTTGGATCTGGAGCTTGAACAACTAGATGTGAAGGCATTTCTTCATGGAGACCTAGATGAAGAAATCTACATGGAGCAACCAGAAGGATTTGAGAGGACCGGAAAGGAGCACATGGTTTGCAAATTGAAGAAGAGCTTGTATGGACTGAAACAAGCTCCAAGACAGTGGTATAAGAAATTTGACTCATTCATGGCGAGTCATGGATATACCAAGACTGATGCTGATCATTGTGTGTTTGTTAAGAAGTTTCCAGGTGATAAAATCATTATCTTTTTGTTATATGTCGATGATATGTTGATAGTGGGACATGATATGAAGTTGATTGGTGATCTGAAGAAGGATTTAGCAAAGTCCTTTGAAATGAAGGATCTGGGCCATGCGAAACAAATTTTTGGCATGCAGATCAAGCGAGACCGAAAATCCAAGAGGTTATAGTTATCGCAAGAACGATATGTGAATCGAATTCTGGAGAGATTCAACATGAAATCGGCTAAACCGGTCAATACACCGTTGGCCAATCACTTCAAACTCAGCAAACAAAGTTGTCCTAAGAGTCAAGAAGAAAAAGAAGCTATGGCGGGTGTTCCATACTCCTCGGCAGTGGGGAGTTTGATGTATGCCATGGTCTGTACCAGACCAGATATCGCTCACGCCGTTGGTATTGTCAGCAGGTATCTTTTCAATCCTGGGAAGGATCATTGGGAAGCTGTGAAGTGGATCTTGAGGTACCTAAAAGGCAGTGCAAATAAGTCCTTGAGCTTCGGCAAAGGAAACCCAGTTCTTGAAGGTTATACAGATGCAGATATGGCAGGTGACCTGGATAGTTGAAAATCTATTTCAGGGTTTGTGTTTACATTTGCAGGAGGAGCTGTATCTTGGCAATCTGAATTGCAGAAATTTGTTGCCTTGTCGACTACTGAAGCAGAGTATATTGCAATGACAGAAGCAGGCAAAGAAATGCTTTGGTTGAATAGGTTTCTTCAACAATTGGGAATGAAGCAGGAAAGGTACGATATCCATTGCGATAGTCAGAGCGCATTGGATTTGAGTAAGAATGCCATGTATCACTCTCGCACGAAGCACATTGATGTCAGATATCATTGGCTACGTCAAGTAGTGGAAGAACAACAGTTCAAGTTGGAAAAGATTCACACTGATGAAAACCCTGCTGACATGATGACTAAAGTTATAACAAGAGGAAAGCTTCAGCTTTGTGCCGAGTTGATCGGCATGGAATGCATGTGAAGATTTGCAGAATATTTCCCTTTGGCTGGAGGGGGAGAATTGTGGAGTCCAGCCAACATGAAGTACAACTAAAACTAGTTGTAATTGAGTTGTTATTATTCTGACAACTAAAGTAGATTAGGATTTGTTTTTTTTTTTTAATGAGTTGTTATCTGACAATGGGTTGTCATTGTTGGAAAGTGTAGCTTCATTTTCCTATAAATACTGAAGCAACGGGAAGAGCTTAAGATGCACCAAGAGCAGAAAGAAATAGAGAGAAGAAATAACATCTTTGAGTATTATTTTTCACTGAGATAAAAATAGAGTGTTTGAGTAAATCTTGTGGGTGTGGGAAAAATACACCGGGTTGGGTATCAACTCTATTATTCCTTGTTTAGGAGTGGGGTTCTCACTGGGTCACTATATTTTACATTTCTTGTGTAAGGGAGTGTGAAAAGATATTGTAATTATCTTGAAAATATAGTGGAATTGTTCGGAGGTTGTCCCGTGGTTTTTTCCTCTATTTGGAGGTTTTTTCCACGTTAAATCTTAGTGTCTTATTTCTTGCATATTTTATTTATTTGGGATATTCTTAGTATGCTCTGTGGTTGCAGTTTAATCTGATCTTCCACATCAAAAAAGAATTATTCCTGTTTTATTGCAAGAGATTTTCTTTTGTCATTCTTGAGTTGTTGGAATTGGGATTATTGTTTATCATTTTACCTTGGTATTTTAATTTACATCTTCCGCATTGCGCATCTGAGCCCAACAGCAACTACCACTACCAGTGTATGCCTTAATTTGGGTCCATTTTAACGAGCATCATCATTCAAGCTCGAGGGAGCTCTCATAGGTTGAAGTTCCAATATTTCACAAGAAATTTGTGAATATAATTAGATTATTGCATCAGCATTAACAAGGGTCCATAATCCCTTGATAATCCAGTCTTTAGTTGGTGTGACATCGATCAAGCATAGTCCACAAAGATCATACAGTTTTAGTTTCAGATTATATATACTGTCAATCATGATATTGTTATTATTATTGATGTTTACTTTAGTATGGATTCTCACGGAACATGGTGATTTAGTGCTCACACCCCATTGTTATCTTTTTCAGATAACAGGACATGCAGGCAGGCGTGAGATCAGAGCTGGTGGTCGTGTTCGAGAACTCGGCATAGTTTGCCAACCTTGTGGGATATTTATATACTTCAGTATGTATATATATTTTTTTATACCGCGAGTAGCTTCTTCCGCTTACTTTATCAGTTTATACTTTATAGTTATCGAATTTGCATGTTAGTAATTTAGTATATCAATTTAACTCAGTCTTTAGTGGGACTTGAGTCCAGTAGCACATGCATGTTTGATATTTTGTATTTATTTATGTCTAACTTAGTTTATTAGGCCCAATTTGAAGGAAACAGACTTCCAGTACATAATAGCATACCGAGTTTTGATTCGCAAATTTATAAGTATTTTTAGAATAAATTTTACCAAAAATTGTACTATGATTTGAGAAAGGTCAATATATCATAATTGAAGAAGATATGGTCTTAAATGGGCTATATATATTTGAGAGAGAGAGAGAGAGAGAGAGAGAGAGAGAGAGAGAGAGATTAATCCATTTGGGGAAGTTCGACGCAATATGAAAATCGTTCCAAAAACTAGGAAATGAAAAGAACCATTTCTCAAAATCGTTCCAAAAACTAGGAAATGAAAAGAACATTTCTGATGAAGTTTCGACAGATTCACAGATACACCCAAGGTGCAGATTATGATTAAGCTCGCTTAAGCAAAATCACAAGTATGGCCATGACTGCTAATCCCATAAATGATCTCTCCATAACTGTCTCACCATTCAACCTTGCAGTTCCATCAGCATTTACGAAGACCCCACTGACACCCTTACCACCAAAGAAACTCGTGAAGTAATCAGACAAGCTATTCATCATATCAATTACAGTGCTCTTTATCCTCTGAAGAAAATCCGTAAACCCGCCCCCAGGCCCAGGTGCTTCATCAGTGCTTTTAGTAGACGAACAATCAGGAAAATCGGAACCATCAACCAACTTCACATTCAAAGTCCTCTCAGAGAAAGAACCTTCAAAAGAAAACGATACCAATTCTTTAATCAAATGCATTTTTTTTTGGCAGATGAATGGCAGCCTTATATTAATGCATCGAATACTTACATGCTCTCTGTGACTGGAGAAAGTCTTGTAGCTCGTTGTTTTGTAATACGGCATTCCAGACATTAGGATCGCAGGCAATAGAAGCAACAACATTCTAGTAAATGGATTAGGTGAAAATTACAACTCAGATGCCTTATTGGTGATATGGGAAAAAAAAATCAAGTCATCATAGTGTGATATCTAGGTGAATCAGAACTCCAAGATGTGCTTCAAAGTCGCACAACCCACGAGAGAAAAACTAGTGAAAGTCAACAATAGTTACAGTTCTGTCCAAAAGACACACGTTAACTACCTCGGCCAGAACTGTAGAAATAGGTATACAATCAAATTACAGGTCTACATTCAAGTTACAAAAGTTTCCCGCACTAGCAACAAAAAAAAAAAAAAAA